ATATATATATATATATATATATATATATATATATATATATATATATATATATATATATATATATATATATANATACATATATATATATAATATATATATATATATAATAGTATATATAGTATATATAGATATACATATATACATACATATATATATATATATATATATATATATATATCCTTTTATCTATCTCACTTTTTCATCTTTATATCCCAGGCTTGCTATGGTTATTCAGTCGTAAATACTGAAACGAAAACAGATAATATTAATCAGCCAAGACCCATTGCATTTCCTGTATTGCTGCATATGTCGCTACCAGGTTTAAATTTGCGGCCGAAATCCGCCATGAACATCTGTGGGATGCACCAGAATAATACTTGCTTAAGTCAGCCCCTAGACAAATACAACCTATTTTAATTATTCATTTTGATATCATGTGATGTAATCTCTGTGCTCGTTCCCATCGATGGCGAGAAGTTGAGCTGCGGCTGCGGTCCATTAGTCATCCTGTAGAGCGTCAGAAAGCACATGCTTGTTAGCAGCAGTTGCAATACAAAAGATACATCGCTTCTGAAATTGAACATTGAGTTCAGCTTCCGACGTGAGTAATGGGACAGAACCACTCCAGTGCAATAAAACTCCAAACCCTTAGACACGGATTTCTACCAAATTGCATGGGACGTGTTGTAAGTATCGCACTATCTGAACCATTGGTATTTTCCGAGGCTGTGTGGATGCCTCTCTGACTGCTATCGTGGTGTCGAATGCATGTCAACTTCACCCCTCACCAAGAAAATATTCATAATATCCAGATAGATATTAATGTTCTAAAAGAAAAAATAATGTTCACAATATTTGGGCAGATACTATTTTCATGATGTACAGATAGATATTAATGTTTATATTATCCAGATAGATATCAGTGTTCATTAAATATTAATGTTCATAATAACGAGATACATATTAATGTTCATATTAACGAAATACATATTAATGTTCATAATAACGAGATACATATTAATGTTCATAATATCCAGATAGATATGAATGTTTATAATGTGCAGAAATATTTTGATGTTCATAGCATCCATATAGATTTAATATTCATAACATCCAGATAGATAATGTTCACAATTTCTAGATATATATTAATGTTCATATTATCCAGATAGATATTAAAGTTCATAATATCCAGATATGAACCAGATACATATTAACGTTCATAATATCCAGACAGATATTAATATTCATAATATCCAAATACATTTATAAGTTCATGATATCCAGATACATATTAACGTTCATAATATCCAGACAGATATTAATATTCATAATATCCAAATACATTTATAAGTTCATGATATCCAGATACATATTAACGTTCATAATATCCAGACAGATATTAATATTCATAATATCTAAATACATTTATAAGTTCATGAGTTCATAATATCCAGACAGATATTAATATTCATAATATCCAAATACATATTTCCACACAATAGCACTTCATTCACACAGCACAGGTGATACACCGACAAGCAGGCCACATACCCAATCAGAATCGCCATCGTCATCATCTGAGTCGTTGCCGGCCATGGCCTGGTTACGGGCCTCCAGCGCACGAGCCAACGCTCCAGCCATTCCATCGAGAGCGGACGTCTGTGGAGTTAAAGGACGTTCGGTGACATCGACCTGATTGACGGACAATGTCAGTGCATAAGTGTTATCATTCAGCCGAGTGCGTGTATGTACTGGTGGGTTTGGTGTTTGGGTACGGAGTGGGCTTTGCGCGGACGAAGATATGTATATGTATATGTAAGTATGCAATCAAAGGCCGAGAGTCGATCATGGGGGACGTATATGATTAACGCATATTAAGAATCAATAAAATAGAAACCAAGCATCCGTAGCACAAAAGAATACTAATGGAAAGAAATCAATGGCCTAAGAGGGAGATTACGCAAGTATGCCGCATGGTCACCTCTAAAGACATATGAATGAGCCCGGGAGCTCGGTGGTTGGATATACAACTCAAGCCCACACTCCGCATAACCCACGGAACACAATAGCCCTGGCACGACGAAATGCACACACAGACAGCAACCCTCTACGCCACCTGTGGAAGGCCAGTGTACTTGCGTAGTACATTATAGTATATCTTTTGGCATGTCACAATAAATACATCTCACCTTCTTCAGAGATGCACCCCCTCGGATCTGTGCCAGGAGATCTACGTTGCCACCACTGCTCGACCCTGGTCGAGACGACGGTGCGTCTGTGTGCTGCAGATGATAGTGAGAAGAACGTTTCAATTCATGTTTATCAGGGTTAAGGTGAGAGGCAGAGCCACAATGAAGCGAAAATGAATGAAATCACGGCGCAGCTGGGAGAACTTGTCATGACTACTGGATCACACTAACCCACATACAGGACCAATGTTAACTGCGAGTGACACTGTAGCTAACACTTCGTAAACACCAGCCAGACAGGTACACAGCCACACAGCCACACCCCAACCCATGCCCACATGCCTCGCCCACAGACGCGCACACCCACACAACCACAATCACAAAACAAACACCCACACACCTTCTTCAGCGAGCTACCGGCCCTAATCGCCGACATCAGGTCCGCTGGCTGACCCGAACTGGCTGGTCGAGACGAGCTGTCTGCCGCTGCGGGTGGGGGTGGGGGGGGAGGCGGTCCCCCAGACGCAGGTGCAGGTGGAGGCGGCGGCGGCGGCGGCGGAGGAGGAGGAGGTCCACCGGCACTCGGGGGTGGTGGGGGCGGGGGCGGGGGTGCACCTGCACCTGCAGAAACGGGTGCGCCAGGTGCAGGGAGGGATATAGTGGGATATTGAATGGACGGAGACGTTGGGGGGGGTGGTTGTAGATGGGGTTGGGGTGCGCAGTTTGGATTGGATTCGTGAGCAGGAGTCGGGTTGCTGACTACGGAGAGTACGACGCATGTTGAAAACATTTCTGTGCAATAAAACACAAACTAAAACACACACTGAAACACGCACTAAAACACACAAACACACAAACACACAAACACACACTAAAAGGAGGTTTACTGGAATCTGCAACAATCGCGAAGGGGTAAGGCCCGTCAAGACAGTCGGCGGAAAGCCATGTTGGATGTTCGCCGGTCTATACTCTCACAACACCAAGACAACCACGGCAATTTGCTGTCGACACAACCACACAACCACGAACACACACACACACACACACACACACACACA